TAGGGCTTCACTGTGTGTGTTAGTGAGTGTGTATGGGCACCTGTGTCAGTGAGTGAGCAAGTGGGTGACTGTGTGTGTCATTGTGTTTGTATGAGTCACTCTGTATGTGTGTGTTTATGGGTCACGGTCCGTGTGTCAGTGAGTGTGTGTGTCAGTGTACTTATGTGTATGGATCACTGTATGTATGACAGTGTTTGTTCATGGTTCACTATGTGTGTCAGTGAGTGTGTATGGGTCACCGTGCATGTCAGTGTGTATGTATGGGTAACTGTAATGTCAGTGACTGTGTAGGGGTCACTATGTGTGTCAGTGTGATGTTTGTAAATGTGTTGATGTTCCTGATGTTATTTCTGTACTCACTATATTAATATATATACAACAGGTTTCTCATATTGCTGCCTTATTACACAGGGTGTAATCCCTAGAACATTCCACCAACCAACAACAGGCAGGAACAGGAAGTGGAGAAACAAAAGAAAAGAAGTGCATCATCCCCAGCCAACAACAGCCTGGCCACCCACACTTCAGAGTATCCAAACTCATACACTCGCACTCATATACAGCCCTACAGAACATACATCACAGTCAGTGAGTGTGTATGGGTCACTGTGTTTGTCAGTGAATGTGTAGGGGGTCACTGTATGTGTTAGTATGTAGGGGTCACAGTGTGTGTCAATACGTGTGTATGGGTCACTGTGTGTGTGTGTCAGTGAGTGTGTAGGGTCACTGTGTGTGTTAGTTAGAGTGAATGGGTCACTCTGGGTGTTAGTGAGTTTGTAGGGGGTCATTGTGTTTTAGTGAGTTTGCATGGGTCATTGTGTTTGTCATTGAGTGTGTATGGGTCACTGTGTGTGTTACGGAGTTTGTAGTAGTCACTGTGTGTGTAGGTGTGTGTGTTAGTGAGTGTGTATGGGCCACTGTATGTACGTGTCAGTTAATGTACATGTGGATCACAGTGTGTGTCGTGTTTGCTTTGGGTCACTCTGTGTGTCTGTCAGCGTGTGTTTATGGGTCATTGCCCATGTGTGTGTGTCATCGAGTGTGTATGGGCCACTTTATGTATGTGTTAGTGAATGTACATGTGGATCACAGTGTGTGTCATTGTGTTTGTTTTGGGTCACTCTGTCTGTCTGTCAGTGTGTGTTTATGTGAGGTTTTAAACAAATCAGTCAATTATTTCTGTATAACGAATGAAGTACTCACTTTATTAATACATATATAACAGGATCTTCATATTGCTGCCTTGTTACACAGGGTTTCTGCAGCCACAATTTCAAATCCCTAGAACATTCCACCAACTTCGAACAGGAAGTAAAAGAACCAAATAAAAGGAAGTGCATCACTCACAGCCAACAAAAGCCCAAACCCTCCATACATCACAATACACAAACTCATACACAGCCTAACAGTCCATACATCACAGTTTATGGGTCATTGCCCATGTGTCAGTGAGAGTGTGTCTGTGTATGGATCACTGTATGTGTTGTCAGTGTGTGTGCATGGATCCTTTTGTGTGCCATTGTTTATGGGTAACTGTGTTTGCATCATCGAGTGTGTGTCATTGTACTTGTATGGGTACTGTGTGTGTCCATGTGTGCCATTGTGTGTTGGTCAGTGAAAATTGCAAATCAGTGAATTTGTGTCCAAATTGTGAATCAGTCAATGTGTGTGTGTGCATTCATTCCTCAAATAGATCAAAAATAATATTGTGTATGTTACTGAAAATTAAAAAGTTTCATTAAGAAAATTTGTTTTAATGTATGAGTATCATGTATTTATGCATATATTTGCATATATATATATATATATGCGTATCATGTTCGTATACATGCGTATATATTATAAGGATAATTTTATAACTTATTATGTTTAAAATATATACACAAATATTAATATAATGCACATACATAAATAGACATATGTATAAAGTGCCCCCAACCTCTTGTGTGTCTCTTTTTCCCCTTTCCCAGCCTCTCTGTGTGTCTCTTTCTCCACCCCAGCCCCTTTTTGTGTCTCTCCCCTCACCTACTTTGTGTATCTCTCTCACCCAGCCATTTTCCATGTCTATTTTTCTCCTTCCCTAATCCCTCTGTGTGTGTCATTGTACCCTTCCCCAGCCCTTCTGAGTGTCATTGTCAAATGGCTCAGGCCATTATTTGTGTCTTTTTCTCTTCCCCCCTTGCGTACCTGCTCACCTCCATTGTGTAGCGTGGCTGATCTTCTGTATCCTCTACCCGGTCTGACAGGAAGCTGTTTGTTGTACCCAGCAAGCACTTCCTGTCAGAGCAGGTAGAGGATTCAATTTTGTAATTAAGATTTTTATTCAAAAAAATTCTTAGTTTAGTGAATAACCCTGCATGTCTCCCAGTCTTTCTTGTCCTGGTGTCACTGGACCACCAGGTTTCAGGGCCATGATCACAGTCACAGTGGGTCATCAGGGAGCAATGCTATAACTTCCAGGTAATCAATGTCATAGCCCCCAGGCCAAAAGTTAAGAAGTGGCAAAAAACTGCTTTTTCTAACAATTCTCGGCAATACACAACACACTCAGCTACCAACACACAGCAACACATATCACTCACAGTTACCTGCAGAACATCACACACAGCACTGATAGTTACACACACACACACTGCCACAGACATCAGTCACAGCTACCCACACACAGCCACACACATCACACACAGCTCTACCCATACTCTATGCACTGCCACGCAAATCAATTACAGCTACCCACAACATATTCAGGCTGCCACATACATCATACATACAGCCACCTCATACAGTCAAAACAAATACATCACACAGTCACCACACTCATACACACCACACAGTTATTCACCACATACATTTTTAGCACATACACCTTACAGTTTAAGCAGTTTGACAATCTCCATGAGTCTCCCAGGCCCCTGAGCCGGATCTAGTCTTCTCCTGTAGAGGACACTGGATGTCTTCATAGAGCTTATTTAGGGGCTGCAGGTACAGGCACCTTGTGGGACCTATTTAAGTTGGTAAACTGTTCTAAAACAGTATGACAAATTACACTGGAAGAACATAACTATTATAGTGGGCGGTAGTGGTTATGGTGTTTGCAGTGCTCCTTTGAAAATATTAAATTTATATAAAATAAAATAAAAAAATAACACAGAGAAGGAACTCCTGGGTGCACACCTAAATGAAATGACATGTGCAAGCCTATGCACAGGAGGCTGTTGCAGGAAATTAATAGAGCAGGAGATAAGAACCTCTAAATAAAACACATTGTACAATAAGGAAAGTTTACAATATTTAGACTTCTTTTCTAGGAAGTGTGTGGGGAGACTGTGAGTCACAACCAGGGGAGGCATAGCTAAGGCTGCATAAACAAAGTGAGTTAAATTCCTACGTGGCAGATAATTGAGCAGGGAGACTGCAGATGAATGATTTATACACCAAAACTGCTTCATTAAGCTACAGTTCTTTTTGTGCTTAGAGTGCACTTTAAAGAGTAGAGTGACATTTGATTGCTTATTTTTTCCTGTCTTTTTAAAATTGTTTTCTATTTTTTACTCTTTATAGCAACTATTTCACATGAATATTAAGACTATATTAGAAATTGTAGTTAGACACGGCAAACTTTGTTTGAGATGCTATGTCCAGGAAGGATCTGGAGTGTGTAATATCAGGCATAACAGGATATAAGATAGTTATGTCCGGTTTATATGCAGTTCCAAATTCTTATCACATGAGGGCACTGTGGGATGTTATACATCTAAAAAGTAGATTTCCATCTGTACATTTCTGTTTCCACCACTGTATTTCAACAAAGCCAAAGTTCAAACGGAATAATTTTATGATTACTCTATACACATATAAACAAGTATATATATATTATAGACACATACACCAAAACCCACTTTATTAGGTGCATCTATCAAGTAACAGGCAGAACATTCATTTTCCTCCAGGTCAGCCTCCCATCTTTATGCCATGACTAGACACGATGACTAGACATGATAACAAGAACAAAACCAGGGGCGGAACTACCAGGGCCAGGTTGCTTGCTATATGTCCACCTGTCAAGGTGTTGCCAAGCCCTCCCCTCTGTAAAATCGTTATTTACTATATTGCCATTTTGTCACTATATTAAATAACTTTGAAAGTTTGCGAGGGAATGCTTAATAAGTGTTCCCTTGTGGTCTAGGTGCTCATTCTGTAAACATGAGTGCTGTTGATGGGTTGCCATGGCAACACTCTTGGCTCATGAAGGGAGCATGTAGTATTGTATGGACTCCCCAGATGTACACTCCAGTAATATTGTGAGCAGCACCCCTAGCCATACTGCCAGAACCCACTATTAAAGGACCACTATAGTGCCAGGAAAACATACTCGTTTTCCTGGCACTATAGTGCCCTGAGGGTGCCCCCACCCTCAGGGTCCCCCTCCCGCCCGGCTCTGGAAGGGGAAAAGGGGTTAAAACTTACCTTTTTCCAGCGCTGGGCGGGGAGCTCTCCTCCTCCGATCCTCCTCCGTTCCTCCCCGTCGGCTGAATGCGCACGCGCGGCAAGAGCTGCGCGCGCATTCAGCCGGTCGCATAGGAAAGCATTTACAATGCTTTCCTATGGACGCTGGCATGCTCTCACTGTGAAAATCACAGTGAGAGGCACGCAAGCGCCTCTAGCGGCTGTCAATGAGACAGCCGCTAGAGGCTTTGGGGGAAGGCTTAACCCATTCATAAACATAGCCGTTTCTCTGAAACGGCTATGTTTATAAAAAAAATGGGTTAACCCTAGAAGGACCTGGCACCCAGACCACTTCATTAAGCTGAAGTGGTCTGGGTGCCTAGAGTGGTCCTTTAACCCATTAAGGACCAAACTTCTGGAATAAAAGGGAGTCATGACATGTCACACATGTCATGTGTCCTTAAGGGGTTAAACTTCCTACCTACATATAGGTAAGCAGGAGGGGTTACTAATTAAAAACAGTCACATTCTCACACCCAACAAAATTAGCTAGCCAATTACACACTCCACACACTTAGTAAAACACCCCACACACTCACACTCAGCTAGTGTCCAATCACACTCTGCCAACTACACACCCAGTCATACGTGGTTTAGCACCACACAATCAAACTCTGTCAAACCCACAAGGAGAGGGAGGGTGCAAAAGAAAGGGGGTGTGTGGAGTACAATATACACTCCACATAAATCCAGTTTCTTCATATTTTTTTGGTCATATATTCATGTTGTTCTATCAGAGTTTCACACATGTGAAAATGTGTTCTGGTAGTTTGAGATCTGGGGATTGTGCAGTCCAATGGACCTTTCACGTGTACTGATCATGGTACATGCAAGGCCTCCCAGCTGTCCTGAGTTAAGTGGGACAGTCCCTATTTCAGGGTCATATCCCTCCATCCCTGAAACCTGAGTCTGTCTGACTGACAGGAAGGATTTGCTGGCTGACCGAAGTGAACCGGATGGAATGTAGGGTGTCAGGAGTTCTTTCAGGTAATGTGGGCCTTGATTGTTTAAGGCTTTGAAGGTTAGCAGGCCAATTTTATAATATGTTCGCCATTTAATTGGAAGCCAATGCAGGGAGTGGAGAACAGGTGTTATATGGCAGGAGCGAGTTTGATTGGTCAATTATCAGGCTGCTGCATTTTGTACAGTCTGAAGGCGATGGAGTTCTTTTTCTGGGAGGCCCAAGTAAAGTACATTGCAGTAATCTAGCCGAGAGGATACAAATGCATGGATTAATGTTGGCATATCATCCGGTTGAATTAAAAGTAGGCAGATTTTATTACGGAGGAAATCTGCTGTTTAAATGATAGTCCAGAGTCAATCAGCACTCCGAGGTTTCGTACCTTTGATGAACTGATGAGTTCAGAGCCTCCAAGCTCCAGGACAGTTGGGTGATCATGGGATATTTTTGTTGCCCGGGGTCCCCTGACCAAGAGTAACTCGGTTTTGTCCAGGTTTACTTTAAGCCAACTAAGTTTCTTCCATTCTATGAGGTCTGCTAAGCAACTGTGGATTCAGCATGTTGGGTCTGTGGTATCTGGAGCAAAGGAGAAGTAGAGTTGTGTGTCATCAGCGTAACAATGATACCTTAGGCCATGTCGCCTAATGATGTCCCCGAGTGGTAGCAAGTAAATTGCTAATAGCATGGGAGACAAGATGGATCCTTGTGGAACTCGCAGGTCAGTTCTGTTGGTGCCGATGAGCTTGACCCTGATGGTACTCTCTGTGATCTAACAGTGAGGAAAGATTTAAACCAGTTAAGGACTGTGCCTCCTAGACCACAGATGTGCTGCAGGTGCCAGTGGCGGGCTGGGATGGGCCGTCCACATCCAGCAAATAAAATGAAAATTCCGAATCCCCTGCCTCTGGCTGGGGACTCTGATTTTTCAACTTACCTCTCTCCCTGCAGCCAGTGGAGTCGACCGGCTTCTCCTGATGATGTCAAGAGGCGGGGGTGTGTCTTTCACTGCTCTTCTCCCAGGACTGCTGGGGAGTCTGGGAAAAGAGCAGAGGAAGTCAGCCCCCTTCTCCTGACATCATCAGGAGAGGCCAGCCGACTCCACTGACTTCTGGCTGCTGGCTCCTGCTCCTGGCTCTTGCCCACCCTTCCCTGGCCTAAGGTAAGACTCAGGGAGGGGGGGAATACACTTTAGTTTGTTTTTGTTTTTTATCACCCTTCGCCCCTCTCCCTTTGCTCAGCCCCTGTCCCCCTGCTCAGCTCTTTCTCCCTTCCCCTTTCCCCCAGCCCTGTCCCTTTCTTTAGCCCTGTCTCCCTTCCCCTGTCTCCCTTCCTCCGCCCCTGTCCCCCTTTCTCAGCCCCTGTCCCATTCCTCAGCCCTGCCTCCCTTCCTCAGCCCCTGTCCCCCTTCCTCAGCCCCTGTCCACTTTTTTAGCCCCTGTTCCCTTACCTTGTCCCTTTCTTCAGCTATGTCCCCTTCATTCATCAATAATTCCTAAATAGATTTAAAATGATCAGCACAACAAACGGGCTGGTTCTAAAGTGCTAGATGATATTGCAAATAAAATGCCTGATGACAGAACCACTTTAAGCATGCGCTGGGTTATATGCAAGGATGTAAGCTATCACTTACCAGTCCCTTAGGATTACGGTATACTTGAAATTCTAACCATATGATCGCCTTTCTGATTATCCTTGACATATCTCAAGTCAAAGATGATTTGCAATTAATAAACCAATGGGGACAGCTTGCAAATACTGCATATTGGATCCTCCCTCATAGCAGGAGCCCTTTCTGAGAGTCTGCTAAATCCAATGCCCATTTACTTTATGCACAAGGTTATTTATCTGTTGAATCTATTTCAGTTTACTCATGGTTGTACTCATCATAACACCCAGCTGTTTGAGATTCAGAGGAACGGGCTGAACTTATTTTACTTATCTCTGATGTCATAGATAGATAAATAGATAGATAGAACCATTGTTCTATTGTGTCCAATTCTTTGATTGCCAGCTTAAAGGGACACTATAGGCACCCAGACCACTTCAGCTCATTGAAGTGGTCTGGCTACAGTGTCCCTATTGCACTTAGTGCTGCAATGTAAAATTGACGCTAGATGTCCTCACGCTTTGTATGAGGGAGGCAGGGGGAGCGATAGTGCCAGTAATACAGCTTTGTATTCCTGGCACTACAGTATCCCTTTAAAGGACCACTATATTGCCAGGAAAACAAACTCGTTTTCCTGGCACTATAGGGTCTTTAGGTCCCCCCCCACTCTCAGGGTCCCACTCCCACAGGGCTGAAGGTGGCTAAAGGGGTTAAAACACTTACCTTTCTCCTCCCTCTGCCGACGTGAGCTCCGAATGTGCATGCACGGCAAGAGCCGTGCGTGCATTCAAACAGCCCATAGGAAAGCATTTCTCAATGCTTTCCTATGGACATCCAGAGTCTTCTCACTGTGATTTTCACAGTGAGAATCGCAGAAGCGCCTCTAGCGGCTGTCAGTGAGACAGCCACTAGAGGCTGGGTTAACCCTAGTGTAAACATAGCAGTTCCTCGAAAACTGCTATGTTTACAGCTGCAGGGTTAACACTAGAGGGACCTGGCACCCAGACCACTTCATTGAGCTGAGGTGGTCTGGGTGCCTATAGTGGTCCTTTAAACACTTTTCTGAAGACTTTCCACTAAGTTAAAAATGAAGGCTAGGCCTACAGATGCATAAATAAAAAACAAAACAACAACAACACAGATTTCTCACAGAGGTAACAGATGAAAATAACATTAAAGTATCCAGGATAAAATGACATTGAGTTTGGTTATCTTCCACAGAATACTTTATGTAACAGAAAAGACAGGATAAATCCTAATAGTGTAGTATACAAAATGCCACGGTTTAGTAAAAATAGATAAAAAGGACACTCACGTTTAGTGAAGTTTAGTGTAAGCTCAGAGAATGAAAGCGTGCAGCTGAATAATCAGCAAGGGTCTTCCAAATGCTCAGGTGCATATGAATGAAAAACCAGAACACACAAAAGATAAATAATAGTGTAGCAATTTAGATAGGGATATGAATAAACCAGAAAAAAAGACCACTCACAAGTATAGAGGTTTTTGAAAGCTCAAAGGTTCAAGCAATATAATCCCCACTTAAGGATATGGAGCAAAGCAGTAACTTTTAAGCCAGCATACTTGTATAAGACACAAAGAGAAAATCCATATAGTGCTCACTGTATAAACAATAGTATGGACTACATCTCCCTTGATGCTTTGCCAGCATTATAGCTGTAAGAGCATTATGGGAGATGTTGTCCAAACTATCTGGAGGGCCAAAGGTTCCCCATCCCTGCATTATAGTGTTAGTAATCTGCTAGATGGTGAAGCTTGACTCATCCCTTCAGAGAACACATTTCCATTGCTTTATATAGTTTATAAACCGGTGTAAGTGAAAACCTACACCTACAAGTGGAGCACTAGACAAATAGTGCTTATGTGAGGTAAACTTACCACACGTAACTTGATTAAAAGCTTGGTTTAAAATACATGTAAAAGATAAAAGCACCCCATTTTTATCTTGTTAACTCCGGTTTTAACAGACTACACTTTGGTTCGTCTCGTTTATGTTTCCTTTTTGAGATTCATTTTACAACTAATTGGATGTGTGGTGCTGCCATAAAAGCATACCAGCTTGATTACGGAGCCAGTACTCACACACAGGCTCCTTAAAATGTGAGTGTCCTGACTACAATATTATATACTGTGTTCCACTTTATGAACCATCTGTACTATACTGTATCTTTTGTATTTTATCTTTTCCATGTATTTTAAACCAAGCTTTTAATCAAGTTACGTGTGGTAAGTTTACCTCACATACGCACTATTTGTCTAGCGCTCCACTTGTAGGTGTAGGTTTTCACTTACACCAGTTTATAAACTTTTCGATTGTTCTGTGGATAAGAGGATATTTTCACATTAGTGTATAGAGCTGCTTTTATTTTATTCACTTTTTAGCACTTACCGTATATTGTTACACACTCCTCCATATAGGAGGTGTATTTTTGGTTGCTTTGTATAACCCAGCCAATGCTTGTTCTTACTTAAGGCAGTGTTGCAGTGGTTATGGTGCTTGAATATTCCTTTTAGTAAAATCAGCTGTTCCTCTTCGATTTTTTTTAAAGTTATTTTTTTTTTTTTTATGTGCATACTGCAGACATAGCCATGGTCCATAGGGAGATGTCAGTAGAAGGATATAAAATAATTTTGAAGCCATTCGATATTTTTTTGAACAATATGAAAACTTTATGTTGAAGGGACATCTTAAGCACCTTAACAACTACAGCTTTTTGTACCGGTCATGGAGCGAGAAATCTTTGCACTAAAAGCCTCGGCCAACGCTATGATTATCCAACCAAATGTTCGAAATATGGATGGTTATGACAAATTGTAAGCGTGGGGCAATGACCTAGTACCTCTCTCACAACCTATCACTGACATCCAAATTAAAAATGTCAAAATAAATTTAAGGTGACAGACCTTGGATGCATGGACCTGGTTTTAAAAACGTTTTTATAAACATCAGGGGAACTGTACCAAAATGTTCTTTGCCTCATCACCACGACAAATAGCTGAATCTTGAATCACTTATAACCATGCAGGTAAGTTCTTTTTGGCCTGATGAGACCAAGGTACAGTATTTTTTACCTTAATTGTAAAATATGTGTTTGTTGCAAGGCCACCACAGCTTATTATCCAAAAACTGAGTGGCTACACTCAAGTTTGACAG